ATATCGTCCATAATAAAGTTATCGGTATCGTAAGAATTTCCCCGGTGGGGCAAGTACGACAAGCAACTCTAGAAAATGATAAAATATATATAATGCAAGAATGCTCGGAGAGAAATAATATTTCAATCATATTATAGAGCATAGAAATCTTCTTCAAACATACGATCAAAGTAATTAAATAAATATAGATATCAATAATTTTATATCAAAGTATATTAGATATATCAATAATTTTTCTTAGAATTATCAATAAGCTTCGATTCCAACTAAGATCCCAGATTTCAAATCTTTAAATTAAAATATATCTCAAAATATATCAAAAAGAATTATTTTTTCCATGAAGAGAATATATATTTATAAAATATTTCATATATAAAACATATTTTATATATTAATACAAATAATCTATTGAAAGATATATATATATATATTATAGAAAATATTATATTAATCTAATATATATTTAAATATAAATATTAAATTATTTTGAAATCCAACTTGAATCAAAGATACGGAAAGAAATAGAAAAAATAAAATAAATTCTCCAATATCTCTAAGTTGATCAAGATTTCAATATAAATATTGAATTATATAGATATCCGGTCCAGATCAGAGATCTCAATCCATAAATTCATTTATTCTCTCTAATCTCTAAGTCAAATAAGCTTTTCAATTATTTATATAACATCATATTGAAATCCGGACCAAATGAGAGAGATCAATCGATCTTTATAATAATCTTTCCTTCTAATATGATCACTGTTTCATCGTCATAAATAATCCTTTCAATCAATAATATGTTCAAATTTATTTCATTAATCTCGGATCTTGATCTATGTTTCGGATTTGAAGCTAGGTGGCAGATTTCAGATAACGAACACAAAAAACAGAAGGTATCAAATGCTGTCCCTGCTTCAGAACGCTTAGGGTTTTGGGCGCAGGGGTTTAGGGCTTAGGGTAGGGTTTAGGGGTTCATATCCCGGAATTGATTGCGAAAGCGCAGCTTTATTGGCCACGCCAGCAGGTTAAGGGGTTCATATACCGGCATTAATTGTGAGCGCGCGATTTTACTGGGCACGCCAGCTGTCTTCTACGGTCGTCCCCAAAGAAGCTTTCTCCCCATGCGCCGTCATTCTTCGGCATAAGACTCGGAACAAGGAGCAGACCAGCCTTCATTGCCATCGGGCCATTATGTAGTTTAGGGGTTTCCCGGGTTCGGCCTAAACCCCAAACCCTCTCTAGAAGCCCTGAAAAGCCTGATTAAATCCCAAACCTTAACCCCAACACCCTGAACCCTAAACCCTCAATCCTAAACCCCCAAACCCTGAACCCTAAACCCCTAAACTCGGGTTGCCCCCCCGAAATATCCAGGATCTGGGTCTGCTCCTTGCTGGACCCACTAAATGCCATCCCAGGATTTATCCTTCCGATCACGGTTTGGGTTTAGGGTTTAGGGTTTAGAGTTTAGGGTTTAGGGTCTAGGGGTTTAGGGTTTTATTGTTTAGGGGCTTAGGGTTTAGGGTTTAGGGGTAGCAACAGAGGTTGCAGAAGGAAAATCGAACGCACCTCACAAGTCGGAAGATTGGATGTGCGAGTCGTGCCCGGGATGGAAAAATCTGCGTCGCGGAGGCCCCGGAATGTCAAACTCCCTACAGGCTCAATGGCTAAAACCCTAAACCCTAAACCCCACAACATAAATTCGAAACCTGCGCCCTGAGGCCTGAGGGTGCAAAATCACATGCATCAGAAGCCTGCAACATGGGGGGCCCTAAGAATTAGAATATGGTTTCGGGGCCCGTTATACTATAATTACAATGAGGAACCACCGAAATAGTATTGGTAACTATTTAAGCCCTTATAGTAGGACCCTCACTCTGCCGCACAAGGTTTCTTTACTCTTGATACGGCACTCGATAGTTAGGGAACCCCACTATTTTGGACAAGGGCCCATACATAACCACAAGGGCATATGTGATCGCCAATCTTTCCAAGCCCCAAATCTGAACCTACATCCAGAGAGCCCAATACCCCTTAATTAAGGAATAAGCCTTAACTTATAGGGGCCTTAACATCATGATTTAAAGTACATTCCTTAATTAAGGGGTATGGGTTTCTCTTGGTAAGCCCTAAGCCCTAAACCTTCTAGTACGACTAGGGGCAACACGAGCCGCTTCAAGACATGGTATAAGGCTTCCGTGCAGTCCAGGCTCGAGTGGCCTGTAGAGCGTGAGTTTAGGGTTTCGGGATTGATTAAATGTAGGGGCCTTACTAATTAGAATAGGGTTTTGAGGGTCCCTTACTATACTTGTAGTATAATATACCCCAAACCCTATTCTATTTATTATGGTCCGTATATTAGGTGAATTGTGGTGCGTTGTATCAAAGCAGTGCATCAGAAGCCTTAGACTCAGTATCCATATGGGAGTCTTTGAAGATGAGAAGGTACTCGGGGAGAGAACACCAAATGATAGGATCCTTCTTTAGGGATCCCGAAATCAGTGCTCCCCAACTTGTGAGAAACCCGCCAGATACCGAATATGACTTGTAACTTCCGGGGCCTCCATGCAAAGCCCTCTGAGAATTTCCAAAAACTTCTGAAGCAAAGTCCGCAGACTACGGCTACGGGTGCTGTGCGTGAGCTTCAATGTATGGCTTACCCTAAAGCCCTCAAATTATACAGAGCTTCCGGAGAATATCGCAAAGGAATGGGTCAGCCGTAGCGTCTGGACTTGTGTCAGTACATGCCCACATCCAGAGCGATGCCCCGAATCTTTGCCAGTGCCGGCGCCATGTCCTCAAACTGAAGCCTGGCAGAAAACGGGTCGTTTAGGGTTTAGGGTGGGGTTCCTTTAAGGGTTCCTATACTGCAAGGTGTCTCTTCAGGGTTCCTTTATGGAGCTTGTGTCATGGGACTCAAGACATTGGGTTTCGGGTTTAAACCCCGGAAGACATGTTGGGTGGCAGGACTTTGAACCAACGGAAGCCTGCTTTCCTAGCTGTAAGCCCCCCGCGAATCAACCCCAGTTAAAACATGCCTGCGAAGCCCACTGTACACCTGGAACTCCGCTTATGCCTGGTGCTGTATGTATATACATATATCTCGTGGATTGTTTATACAGCTATGCACACTCTTTCGTGACGACTCTTACAACGGTCTTCATGTACACAACATGCATGTCCATACACCCCTTTTCAGTTGTTTGGGTGCATGCATGATGTGAATTTCCACATGCATGCGCATTTGCGTGGCTTCAAACCACACCACTGCATCAAAAAAACGTGATAGCCATGCTCGAGATATCTGGATTATGTGTGGTTCTCTGAAGTAGGGTCCCTTCTTAGGTCCCCAAAACAGTACGACGCCCTTCTAAACAGGATCCTAAAAGGGACCCTCATTTAGAGATCTACGCTTCTGGCCTGAGAATCAGCCCTTGGGCTCCAATTCACTACTCAAGTCTAGGCCACTTTCAGGTGGGTAGTTACCGCCATAGATAGGAGCCTCAGAGATGGTCTATATACCTTATGGAAGCCGTTCAGAGCCCCATATACCCTAAACTCCCCGCCTGTAGTTTCCTTTAATCAAGCCTTACCTGGACCCTCTAAAACCTACCTTTTGCAGGCTCCCGATTCTGGTTTCTTCGAATCGTCATCAGGCTCCATATCGTCGTAAGGCTCCCTATTTTGATTTCTTTGAATCTTCTTAGGCCTCCTTATCATGTTTTTTATGTGCATAAAAACACACCAAGATTGATTTCTTTATGTAAATCAACCATCAACCAAGCATGCCCTGGGTGGCCGGAGCTGCCGCTGCAGCTTCTGATCGTAGGTCTTCAGAGGCGTCTTCGAGATCACCTGGAACTGAAAGGGTTTAAGGCTTAAGGTTTAGGGTGTAGGGATGTATTATATAAGATAAAACTGCATACCAACATGTAAGATAATGAGACAATATAATATCGTACAATAAAGCATGATACACCATAGGTAAATGAAATCGCCGCGGATGGCGTGAGAACGTGCAATATCAAGCATGACATGTCAACCACCAATACCAATACGTCGATTATTGAGCTCTTCGCTTGCATCATGAACTCCTTGCGCTCGTTTGCATCATGAACTGCTCGCATCGGCAACACTCATCATCATACCAATCTTCGTGTCAGCTGCTTACACCATGACATGAAGACTCAACAAAGAAGTTCTGAAAAGAAGCACGCGTAAACAGCAAGTCTTGTCTGCTCTGTGTGTGTATGTGTTTGTGGGCTCTTTCCGACGTCAAAGCCCAGCAAGTAAGGAATGTGCCTGAACCTAAACCCTAAACCCTAAACCCAAAACCCTAAACCCTGAACCCTAAACCCTGAACCCTAAACCCTGATGATAGAGGGGTCCTTAAAGAGGACTTACGGCAAACTTGAGAGCTGACGCTCGCCTTCACCGGAGCCCTTGCACCCTTGTGGAACACGGGGTTTAGGGCTTAGGTTTGGGGTTCAGGGTTCAGGGTTTAGGGTTCAGGGTTTAGGGTTTAGGGTTTAGGGTTCAGGGTTTAGGGGTAGTTCTGAAAAGCCTAGGCCGCTCTGAAAAGCCGAGGCCGCAAGAACTAAAATCCTAGAAATCTATAGATTGGAATGCTCGGAACACGGCCTAGTCCGGCAGAGGTTTGGAGTAATCGCCGTAAACAACTCTTTGTTCTTGACCTTCCACAACTAGGCTTCCCAGCGTCCCCTTCACAACACGGGTACCCGTTTTTCCCTGGTATTCAGTTTCACCGAGGGAGCCCTCAAATGAAAAGGGCAAAAAGGTATTGCTGGGACACATAAATCAAAGCCACAACCTGAGCTCAAACCAGAAGGCCTGAACCTTGAGCCCGCCTTCCAAATACTCTAACTTAGTTCTCTTGAAACATGCTTTGCTGTGCTATGTTAGGTTATATTAGGTTATGTGACTTGATCTTAGATTGAACGAAACAGATTACATTACTAACTATACTATGTCTTCTAAGACTCTAAACTCTACAAGCGCTTACATGCTGCTGTCCCCAGAGACTCCAATATCCCTTAATTAAGGAATATACCTTAAATCATATTGGGGATCCTACTATAATTTGAGGTATATTCTTTAATTAAGGGATATTGGAGTCCCTGGGTTCCCGGAAGTCTCTGCGCCCTGCACATTCAGACCGCATGACCATATCAATTCTGCACGAACCCCACCCTGCACCCTACAAGCCCGAACCCTGCAAGAAGCCATAAACACAAAACCCAAGCCACCAAAATCCAGGAGTTGTATGTTGGGTGGGACAGGGCTTTGCATGTGTCGTTAATCGCGTTTCTATCGCACTCGCTTACTTGAAATGCATTCAGTCATACTTTACAAGTAGACCCCTGCCTCGGGTTTACCTGCCGCATTTCAGGGACTTTCAGCGGTAAGCCCGCCCTTCCACCACTCACAGAGGGTTTTTGGGCTTATCAGGGCAGGGTGGGGACAGCCAAAATCCCTAGCAGGTGGGAGTAATGTAAGGGCCTTAATAGTTGGAATAGGGTTTTAGGGCCCTTATACTATACTTACAATAAGGAACCACCAAAATAGTATAGGTAACTATTTCGGCCCCAATGTCAAGAGCAAAACAAAGGAGCCTGGACAAAACCCAACACAACTCCGGACCAGATCGATATACAACCTCTATAAGCCCCCAATCCCTCAACAGCCCGAAACCCTAAGGTCTCAACCCTAAACCCTATAATATAGGGGCCTTTATAGGGGCCCCGTATACTATACTATAATTATAATTAGGAGCCCCCCAAAATAGTATAGGTAAAAAATGTAGGCCCCTATGTTAAGGTGTCAACCACCCAAGAGTTTTTAGCCGAGGTGCTTTGCTGGCACCCTTGGTCTTCACGGCTGCGAGTCCGCCAGAGAGGCGATGGTAGAGCTTCGGAGGGAGCTCCTCCTCAGTTCGACGGTGGATTTAAGGGGTCTCGGGTTTAGGATTCGGGTTTCGGGTTTGCGATCATGGTGATGACGATGATGATGATGATGACGATGGTGATGGTGATGATGAATATGAAGATGACGATGACGATGATGATGGCGATGATGATGATGATGATGATGATGATGATGATGATGTTGTCGTCTCGAACACTCACAAGCACCACACAACACTTGGTAGCATGCCTGAGCAGGCAGCTGCAAGAGGAGCCTAGATTTATGACGAGCTCAACCCAGTTGCACACAGAGTCATCAGCTGGCCGAGTGGCATTGAGCAAACCGTCTTCACCAGCATGATGCCTCAAGGCCTGTGATGGGAAGATGCAGATTTGCATTTCAGCAAGTGTACTTACTTCCCCAATAAGCCAGGGCAATAAAAGGTTAAACTTTCTGATTACTACTAAGATTACTAAACTATAAGAACCCAAAAAGCTTAAAGGTTGGGTACTGGGGAACTCAGTGTAACCTGCTAATACCGACACGGAATCCGGCTCCAGGTTCCAGGTTCTGCACGATGTAGTGAGGGCGCGAATCACCAAGTTCATACATGCTGAAGCACTTCTAGGTTTTTTCAGTGTCCCCTCAACAAAAAGGGTGTACCCTCAGATGAAAAGGGTACTACTCGGGAACCTAGACTTCCCCTAAACCCTACACCCTAAACCAGAAGCCCAAACCCTAGACGCCAAACCCTAAACCCTAAGCCATAAGCCCTAAACCCTAAGCCCTAAACTCTGAGCCCTAAACCCTAAGCCCTAAAACCTCAAACGGCAACACCGGGCCTGTTCCAGGCCGGGGAGAGTGCGAATGCCCTTCGCTGCAGCTGTCTGAACGAAGCCTCTGGAGCTGAAGCCGCTAGGGGGTTTAGGGGTTAGTTTAGGGTTTAAGGTTTAGGGGTTTAGGGGTTTAGGGTTTAGGGTTTAGGGTTTAGGGTTTAAGGTTTAGGGGTCTAGGCGGTTTAGGGTTTGGGGGTTTACGGGTTTAGGGGT